ATCTATCTATCTATTGTAATTTAATTGTCCTTCTATCTATCTATCTATCTATCTATCTACCTATTGTAATTTAATTGTCTGTCTGTCTGTTTATCTATCTATCTATCTATTCTATCTATCTATCTATCTATCTATCTATCTATTGTAATTTAATTGTCCTTCTATCTATCTATTTATCTATCTATCTATCTATCTATCTATCTATTGTAATTTAATTGTCTTTCTATCTATCTATCTATCTATCTATCTATCTATCTATCTATCTACGAGCTGTTTTCCCCTCTCTTTCACCCAGCCTGTCCTGTGAGTACCAGATTTTCCGAACCCTCCATCCTCATTACGTGCCGCAGAGATTTCAACTGCCTCTTTCTCATATATATTCTTCTTTTATGTATCGTGTGCCTTCAGGACGTAGGCGATCATGACTTCCTGCCCGTCGTAGCTCTTAATAAGTTTTGTATTTTTGTTTTTTTCCCCAAACCCTGTTCTATTTTCCATTTACTCAAGCCCATCAAGAATTTTATGCGCTGCTTACATCTCTCCCTTTTTCTCTCAATTTGTCATGTGAGTATCAGATTTTCCAAGCCCTCCTTCCTCATTACATGCCACAGAAATTTCAGCTGCTTCTTCCTGATGTTAAGTCTTAGTTTACATTTTGTTGACATTTTCTCAAAAATCTCGTTACTGATGACATGTTCGGTCCATGGTATCCCTAGCATGTTTCTGAAGAATCGGATATGTAAATTTTTGTAACTTTGTATAATACTTATGCATTATACCCTAATCTTTATTCGGTAAAAAATTTCATTGCTAATCATGCATTACTTTTTAAGTTATACACATATTTATATCTTTGTTGTTTCCGTTCTTTATATTATGGCCGCTACAATATATATATATATATATATATGTGTGTGTGTGTGTGTGTGTGTGTGTGTGTGTGTGTAAGCAAATATGTGTATATAGACCCGACAGTATGAAGAAAATATATTGAAAAAAAATCCGAATATGCAAGTATGTTGCTAAAACAGCATACTTGCATATTCGGATTATTTTTTCCATATATTTTTTCTTGATATATAGGTATGTAAGTGTGTTGTGAATAGGGTTTGTTTCCTATATATTCATAGGTTAAGCAATGTAATATTTGTTAGAGATAAAACACATTCACAATTAAGTGGTATCCATTGATATCAAACATTTTCTCAGTTTCAGAAAGGAGCTGTCAGATGAAATAAACAACACTGATCAGTCTCATCTTGTTGATGTTCTACGTAACTTCTTCTTGTCTCCTTCTTTCTTTCATGCTTCTTTGTCTATCATTCTTTCATCTTTCTTTCATTTTTCTTTCTTTCTTTCTTCTTTCATGTTTTTTTTTCTTTCCGTCTACTTCTTTATTTTTCTTTCTTACTTTTTCATCTTTTTTCTTTCCATCTTTTTAATTCTTTTTTCTTTTCTTTCCTTCTTTCTTTTTTCCTTTTTCGTTTTTCTTTAACTTTCCTCTTCCTTCTTTTTCTTTCTTTTTTGCTTCTTCCATATTTTTCTTTCTTTCCGAAATTTTACTTCTTTTTTCTTTCTTTCTTTTTCTTTCTTTATTTTTTCTTTCTTTCTTTCTTTCTTTCTGTGACGGTTACACACCTGGCCCAGTGTCGGATCCTTTGGTTACGGCGCCAACGGTGACGTCGCTCCTCCTGGTCGCTCCTCCTGGGTCCAAGCGTGCCGCTCCAACCCTTTGGTCAGATGATCACCAGCCTCGCCTTTCCCGACTCGCTTCCAATACCTGGTCACTAAAGCAACTATACCGATCTCCGGTCTGTCTACCCACGCTGTGTTTAGATCTTAGACAGACGGGACCAGCAGGGATCGGGGCCGATACAAGTTGAGTCCGACGGGGTGGCAAAACACAAATAAAATAAAACTCACGACACCAAACAAAATTGTTGATAAAAAGGGTAACAACCTTTTATATCTTAAAGTCCGTTACATAAAAACAAAAGTGTTCTCATTTCCCGACCCGCTCTGTGGACTATGGCACCAAGCTTCTATCACACAATAGAAAATGTCGAATTACCTACTTTCTAGAATCATGTATGTATGTCGGAGTGTGGTTCAGTTCGACACTGGGGCTAATTTCTATCGATCATTCGCAGTTGATTCTTCTCTCCGACTTGAGTTGTATTTCTTCTTCTTCGTCTGCTTGGGCTGGTAGTTTTCCTGTTTCAACTTGGTGGAAGATTTCTTGTTTCAACTTAGCCGCAACTCTCTGTCGTCTGAGGTGGTCTCTTCTCACTGCCGTCCGGAGCTGAACTTTAACTTCTCATCGACTTTCGGCTTGTCTGCAGCTCCAATTCTTCTCAGGCTTTCAGGCAATCTTCTTCTTCATCTACTTGGGCTGGAAGTTCTTCTTGTCTGAGGGTTCTTTTCTCGCTGCCGTCCGGGGATGAACTCATTTTTGTCGATTGGGGCCCTGCTTTTATTGACGCCGCAACAAACTGGGGTGGGTCTGTCGGCGTCAGGGTTTTCTCGATAATTCCAAAAACTGCATTAATTCTGTCTTCTCCATTATCGCTATTGTTTTCGCCCCTACTTCCTCGCAGTACCTTTGGTGGGGCGGCGCATATCCATCTCTCTTAGTCTCTCGTATGTCAGGTGACCGCTTTTCAACCAATCGTTCCTGATCGAGCATTTCTTTCCCTTTTCTTCCGCAGGTCACGTGATCGTATTCGACCAATTGTTATTGGTCGAACATTTCTTTCCTTTTCTTCCGCAGGTCACGTGATCGTATTCGACCAATTGTTATTGATCGAACATCCTCTCCCCTCTGTTTGCGGGCGTGGTTACATCGTTCTTGTTTAAAAAAAAAAAAATCCAATTTTTCCCTTTTTGCACGTACGCAAAAAATGACAATCTTTGGCTTTCTCTCACCTGGACTTTTGTCAAACAGCCCGCTGCTAATTAGTCTTGACTTTAGAAAGGATCTTTTTCCGCCTTCTTGGCGCCCTCTGTGAGCCAAAAGCAATTGTCCCTCTTTTTACCTCTTTGTTTTTCCTGATAGTCGAAAATCTTAATTATCTACATTGAAATGTCTCTACTTTATTAACGTGGGTGTCCAATTCTTAACAGGTCAAGATCTGTATATCGTTCCACCGGTAACTCCCCTCAACCCAAAAAAAACACTTTTCTCTGATTAAAATTTCATTTCTATTGTTCTAAACCAAATTGAT